GTACAATCAGAGGGAACCCACACAGCTTTATCTCAGTCTCGGCGCGTGGTAGCCCGAAGAGCGCCGATTGGTAGGATGTTCCTGTGGTAATGTAGACGGCGGTCAAGTCTGTCTTCATACACGGAGTTGCGACACCTTTATCTTCGTTTCGGTGGGATGTGGCCTGAAGGGCAAGCTGAGGAGCGCCGATGGGTATCTTTTGCCGTGTGGTTAAGCTGATAGTTTGTAAAATCAATGTGAATAAATAGCTTTCAACAACTTCATTGGACTCTTAGCGGACAGTGGTTGCGAGACGCTGTTGAAGGACATTGGTGAATCTTTGTCATTTAGATACTAACGGGATGGGTTGTGGTGTCATAGTTGTGGCGTCTATCGTCATACGTTATGATCGCCTCTTCATTTTTAATTGTCTGTTGATTGTGATTAGTCGGATTTGTCTGGTTGGCATCGTTTCTTATGTATCACCTGCTCATTTTTTTGGTTTGCACTGCTGTGTATACCCTGATTGTTGAATGGGATGGAATGGTGACCTGTAGCCAGAAATCGTTCGTTTTGAGGCATGGATGCGTAGAAAAGGGTGTATTGTTAGCACCTGTTTTGAATTTTCAGAGTAGGGGTTACGTGATTGTGATCGTCAGCATTGAGAGTAGATTAGTAGGTATTCGCTAAGATTGATAGATTTTTGTTTGAATAAGGGCAGAGGGAATAGAAGGTAACATCTGATGGCTTATTTCGTTTGTAAATATGATGAAGGTTTAGGGAGAATCTATCTCGTAAAAAATAAAGCATCGGCTGAAGAATGCCCGATCATCATAAGTGAGAAGAATTGTTTTGTCTGTTTTTTACGAAGCGTTCGCTTTTCTGAGGGAACATCCAATGATTGAATTTGGAGGGAATGAACAGTCTGTAGTGAATTTGCATGAAATGCTTGCTGTTGGATCCCTGGTGCGCGTGTTGATTTGTTGAGGATAGGTGTAAAGAAGGCGTCATATGTTTCCGATGCTTGTTCATTTTATTAAAACAATTGCTTTGTTCATAACATAATTCAATATTTTTTTCTCAAGTTTGCTTTAGTCATAAGCTATTGCTATAAAATTTTAATTCATTTATACATAATTGATTATCTCGGTTGCATATTGAATTAATGCTTATGATTTTTACTAGGAGGTCATATGGTTATCATATTAGTGTATGATTCAAGTTTCATGTACTTTTCATATTATTCTTTATTCAAATTTCATCTTTTGTATAGCTTAACAATATATGAGAATATAATATAAAAAATGCTGTAGAGAAATATCTGTTTCACATAGAAATATGTGGTAAACAATGGTCAACAATAGAAAATGTATCAGAAGTAACAACGAAAGAAAAACATAATCAAAAATATCTGTTCACTATGACAGATAGTGAATAAACAATATGAACCAAGAAAAACAAATAAACAATTGAATATTCTAGTTCAGCTTATAAAAGCGTTCTATGTTATAAACAAGTTGATATGTTGTTTGTTCGATAGACAAATAAAATGTTTCAGCAATAAACTTATAGATAGTTGCCACAAATATTGGATGTGTACGCCATACGTGTGGACACTAAGAAAGAAAACGATCAAATTTTTAGGAAATAAGATTCAAAAATTACACTTACTTCTGCAATAGTTAAGTGTGGTGATGTACTTTCTGGCAAAATTGAATTGATGTTGGAGGCTTGGACAATATGTTTCATCTTTTGATTGATGAAAACTAGTGGAGAGCATCCCATAAATACACAGCTGAATTTGGCATTTAGCATATCCATTTCTTCGATTCCATAGTCAAAATTTCGCCAACAAATATAATAATCAGCAGGCAACTCCTAAAGAAAAAAAAGTAAGTAAATATTGACTGGTAGAGTAATCATTAGGCATTATATGTCTATGCATATTTTCTAGAACTATATTACCTTGCAGAGTATTTCTAATGTTTCAATAAAACTTTGACGAGAATAAATGATCACTGGTAAGTTTTTTGATCGTGCCAATCTGATTTGCTGTGTAAATGCTTCGATTTGTGTCTCCTTGGAAGGACGTAAAATATTACTAATGATAAAAAATTATATTTGGAATGAATAATTAAAATTCTCTAGTTGCGAAAAATATTTTACCTTCGATAGTCAAGACCAATTTCACCGATTGCTACAACTTTTGGATTCGATAAACAACGGCGAAGATTTAGCTCCATATCCAAGTTATAATGATGTGAAAATAATGGATGAAGCCCACACTTTCCATAGACAATAGGATGCTCTAAATATTTGGCGTATCTTTCCTGCCAGTTCTCTAAATATAATGCATAAGTTTTAGCATAAAAACAATATATGTACCTTCATAAAAATGAAATGGTGCGAAATAAGATTGAATTATGTATTTCATATCGATTCCATTTTCGTAAAGCCGACGATTATGTTGTACGTATGACCATATCGTTTGGTTTGGACAATGCAATCTTAAGTGATATATATTCCACCAGAATAAATATTTAATTAACTTTGTATACTCACTGTTCAAATAGAATATCAATATAGCAATGTGAATCGGCAATATACAATAAATCATACAGTTTATTTTTATCAAATTGTAGAACGTTGTGCACCATTTTTATAATTTCATTTTCAATTTGAGAACGACTAAAACGATTATTGAGCTCAAGTGTCGTTTTTGATTGATCTCTAAAACAAAAAAAATGAACACAATGTTTTATCTATACCCTAAGAATTTTTACAATTGATATTAATTTTTTTAAAAGAATAACTTACTCATCTGAAGTATTTAACAGAATAATTTTATTTTCATCTTCATCGTTTACTTGTTCTTGTGGTGGTGAAGACTGCTCCATCTCTACACAGATAGATGATGGCACGTTTTCATCATTTTGATTTGATTTTATATTCGAATCTTGGCATTGAATGACTTCTTCCATAGGACTTTCAAACGACCATATATACAGTTAATAACAACAAAATAAATACTTGTGAATTACCTTAAAGATAAAGCTGTTGGAATATCAAGATGTAAATCAAAGCTATTTGCAGCTGCATTATGTTCTTGACACGTGAAAGATGATGAAGTATTGCGACCAATAATAAATGAAAAAAAATTGCTGACGGCTCTTCCACGAGCACAGCAATGAAATTTTTTATCTAATATAAGTACAACAAATAACAAGTTCTAGTTTCGTTTATAATTGACATCCAAATTTACCTCGATTCACATATACATGCGTCATATTTGTTTCATTTTGTGAATCAATATTTTCTCTATAAGGAAAATTTAAAATAGATAACTCTAGAAAAACAACATAGTCAAGTATTTACCCAATAGACATTGATGACATATTTTCTTGAATAATATTCTTCTCAATAGTCACAATAGACATTCGAAAAAATATTATTTAAATAAACAATTCTAAAAAGAACACAATCGTTGAAGAAAAATAAAACAAGTGCGAGAAGATAAATTGTTAAAACTAAATACTAGAACAAAAAAAAAAGATGTCACCTCCCATTGTATTCTATTGCACGATCAGTGATCATTCTGTTACATATATATATCTCATTGTGGAGGTCATAATTTAATCGACGGTCAGTGCATTTTATCTGTCTTGACGCGCCCTCTACTTATTGCCTTTCTTGATTGATACTAATGTCTTCCAATAGTATTAAAAATCAAATCATGATTTTTTTTATCCTCATCCATCCAGAAATTGTTTGGCATATGTTGAAAAATGTATACAACTTTTATCTGTTTATTGAATTTCAATATAATTTATTAATGAAATGCATATGTCAGTCAAACAAAGAATAGAGCCAAATTATGTATTATTTTCTAGCCGATTGATTATTAATTTTTCATTGTAATCGGTAGAAAAAGAAAATTTCAAATATGTATCAAATAATAATTTCATCGTAGATCGAAAATGATAGCATTTACCGGGTGATCCAAAAGTTTTACAACATTTTATGTTTTGCATATATTTCAGTTCAGACAAAAGATAAAATCTTGAATTTAATTTTGGAAGACGTGCAATTCAATTTTCTACAAATTTGTATTTAGCTTAATATAAAATAATAGACCTAAACCTTTCTATGAGCCATATAGTATGATGATATGAAATGCATCTATTTCCCACACATTCTTTTATTAAATTATTTTTTCTGTACGAGCGAATGTTTCGCTTTTAGAAATAATAGATAGTAAGATAGTTCTTCAAAGTTTCAGCCGATTGCTTATATATTTAACATTCGTTCGTACAGAAAAAATAATTTAATAAAAGAATGTATGGGAAATAGATGCAATTCACATAATCATACTATTTAATCCACAAAAATGCTCTATGCTATTATTTTACATTGAGCTAAATACAAATTTGTAGAGAATTGAATTGCACATCTTCCAAAATTATATTTAAGATTTTAACAATTATATTTAAGATTTTATCTTTTGTCTGAACTGAGATATGCGCAAAGAAAAAAATGTTGCAAAACTTTTGGATCACCCAGCATGTAAAAGAAAAAGTACATATAGCTTCATAGGATGTTTTAAACAAGCACTAACACTAGATTATATTATTTATTGTGTTATTGCAAAAAATAGTTTTAAAAAAAGTTTCTTTTATCTGCTTTACGATATTGTATTTGTTAACAAATGAAAACCTATGGCTGTCCACAGAGAAAGAAGTAATGGAATAAAATGATAACTTCATTCAAAGAATCGGTAGAGTTTCTTCAATCATCTGTTGCAATCAAGGAACTACAGAACCGTCTCAACTTCAAAAACTAGTCATTATCCTCTCGTTCAGCATAACAAAAATCTCTTTTAAGCGGTAATTTTTTCAAAGAGACCATTTTTAAATATTGACCTAATTCTTCACTGTAAAAAAGACGCAGAATACTAAACCGTTACACTTTCGAGAAGTTTTCTTAAACCCTTAAAGGGTTTATGCTCGTGTGCTAAATCCTTAAAGGGTTTAGCAGCACAAGGGTTATGAAAATGAAAAGGGTTTATGGTTAATGAAAAAGAGTTTATTGTTCTACGGTTCCATAAAGAGGGTTGATTATTCTACGTCCAAGGGTTTTTTGTTCTATGGTTACATAAAAAAGGTTGATTGTTTTACGTTCAAGGTTTTTTTGTTTTATGGGCCCATAAAAAGAGTTTATTATTCTGTGCTGAAAAATTTAGTATTCTACGTTGAGATGACGATTATTCTTTGGCTATCGTAAAAACCATTATTGCTCTTCTTACTTAATGATCAAATTCCGATCTTAGAGTACTATTCCAGTGTAATTTCGCGGAATAAGACGAAATGGCTACTTAAATCGGGTCAATCATTGTTTTTTCTGAAGTCAATTTTATGAAACACGAAGTATATATATATACCAAAGAGAAGCTAGTGACGTCTTGTATTTTTTCAATATCGTATTTTATCATTGTTGTTATAAGAAAAACTGGAAGATTATTTAAGCGAAAAATGGATGAAATATTGCGTATTTTTTATATCTTTATCACATTAGAAACAATAAACTTTGATGAAAAATTAAATCCTTTGCATAATCGAGTAAATTGATCTCCTTACCAAGTCAGAAAGAATCGATTTCAAATGAATGACGATTAAAAAGAACAAGCATTTCAAACACAATCTGTTGAATCATCATAACAATGATCATACCATTCGAAAAGATTAATTGAGGCTAAAAAAATATTCACAGCTTCCTTTACATTTTCCATTATCCAACTAGAATCGTTGACAAATGATGGATATCGTTGTATTATCTACACTGCGAACAAATATTTCTAAAACGGTTGTGTTGCGCTATAGAGGGCACCAGTTTCACTGATTCTCTAGCATCATTTTAGATCTATACCCCGATTCACAACAGTTGAGATCATCAACATGAAATTCGATTTACACTGAGAATTTTATTATAGCACTTGGGTTATATCACCAGGCTGTCACGAGCAGAGGAACAGGGGGCGGGCGTAGATTCTCCCAATCTTGAAAATTTTCGTTCGTTCTCAGATAAACTGAACGACTTTTTCGTTTTTTTCCTCAACAACCTTCACAAAAATGGCTGTCCCCCACCAATATCGTTAACTCCACTCTCTGAGTAATCGATCCCTCCGAATCTTGATGATCTGGCAACATTCCTGCATATCACTCTCAGAAATATTACGATATTTGTAGTCTTATCGTAAACTTATAGTCCTCATTTTCTTCTATTTAAAGGACTTATTATTTTTCTAAATCCTTAAAAGGGTATTTTGAAGTGTAACGTACAACAAACTCGTAAAGGGTTTATTGATCTCATAAACCCTTTCAAAGGATATATGAAAGGGTTGTCTTTACCTAAACTCTTTGCTAAACCCTTTTACAGGTCTTGGAAAAACTTCATATACGGTAAAAAGAGTTTATTATACGTTGCACTTTAATAAACCCTTTGAGGATTTATTATTCTAAGCATTTTTAGTGTTGATGTGAATAAATGATAAATATTGATCAATTATTATTTTTTAAAAACATACGCGGTATGTGTCGGAAAAATTTTCTCATGAAATAGTTCTGCCAAGTAGATCAAAACAAACCTTGATCCATGTCGAATATCATATGATATTAGCTAAGCGATATTTACATATGATTTATCCGCATGTTATGAAATTATATTTGTACTCTAAGCAAAATTTTGACTTTCAATATTGTGATCCTGTTTATGCTGAAAATATTCATAAATATAATGATGATAGAAAAAGCTACTTGCAGCAGATTATTTATCTATTTTCTTTCAAAGAATAGGTTGATTGATTGTTCATAAATGATGATATCGAATGAAATTAATTCTCAATGTTCGTTTACTATTTATCAGATGGTATGAAGAGAAAAATTAGTTTTCTATATAAGGCATTTTCTTTTATTGTTTAAAGTGTTTATGAGAAAAATGGATATTTCAATGTGAAAAAAAGAAAATATTCCGTACAATTTATTAAAAACACAGGAAATAAGCAGAAAATGATAATCTACAATTAAGTATATTCAATAAAAAAAAAGTCGATTTAGATAGGCAAGTAAATAGTTTTACACCACTGTATCAGGAATATTTTCCTTGCATAATTTAAGTGTTGTTGTCAGCATTATCTTGATTCTCTTCATCTGATTGTTGTTCTGCTTCATCCTCTGATAATGCACCAACGCTAGACACCTTAAAATAAAATGAATGAAAAATTTTTTGATCGAATAGAAAAAGGGAAAGTCTTACCATTACTTGAGTCCATGGATATAGAATATTTATTGGAGGTTGAATATTGGATTTTTTTGCTAGATAAGGATTATCTGGATAAATTTTCGTATGCAAACAATTTCTTAAATGAAATATAATGCAATAAAAAATGTTTGAATAGGGCCAAGTAATTGATCGTAAAGTAGATTTTATTTTAGTATAGTGTGCAAATAATTGTTCGCATACTTGAGTATTTTGATTTTCAAAGTAAGGTTTGTTTTCTTTGTATTCGCATGAAAGAATCGTTTTACACTCTGGTCGTACATGATTGCGACGATGAAAACGATCAATGCAATACTTTTTGTGTATCAGCTCATCTACGTAAATCGACGATTTAATAGACAAACCATATTGGCTTTTCAAATATGCAACGAAAGTACAAGCTGAATCATAGGCTGCAGCAGGTGGTAGCTTTCCTTGTAAATGAAGCATTTTGAGTAGTTGATATATCCATCGACGCATACCTTCGGAGCGCACGCTTTCGCCCCATCCAATGATAACATTACAATTTGAAACAACAGCCATGAATCCTGCTGTTCGTCGTTTATGTTCCCTATCATCATTATCACGATGGACTGTGCATATATCATTATCATAAAAGTCTTCGGCAATTTGATCAAGTTCAATAGCTTTCTGAATATTCGGATTTTGTAGTATATTCAGATTCAGAGCATATTTATAGTGGTGCTCACAGTATTGTTTGCATTTATCTTTTTCTGCATCTGAAAATGTAGGAGCATAGTGAGAAATAATTTAAAAAATCATAAAAACATTACCAGTCATATTTTTCAAGATCACTGACGAAGATCGAAGGGGCATACGAGGGCAGCCAATAGCTACAGCACCAAGCTCGGGTACTGATTCATCACAGGAACTAGTATATGCACATACCAAACGATGAGCTTTCATATGTGTGTCGAATACGAAATTAAGCATACATTGATCTTTTGATTGACATTTGCAACCTTGTACTTGATCGTGTCGGGACCAAAATTTCACAAATAATTCATAAAAGAATGGTGCATTTACTTCATAATATAAATCATGGGACAAGCGTTGAATAACATCTGGAACTTGTACCATAGTTAGATCTGTCATAAAAAAAAGATATCGACATATTTCAAACCAAGTCCATGTCTATAAATTAAATGAGCGTAACGTAAGAGAAAAAATTCCATGGTTGCTACATACCACTGAAAAACACTTGGAGTTTAATTTGTTATTGATTGCAGATTCACCATTCAAATTCCGATTTTGATCAATATCCGAATTTGTTGCATTCGTGTAGGATTGGAAATTTGTTGCGGCTTCATAAACAAGATTTGTAAATGCAACTACTAATCGACGTTCATATACAATATGATCAAATAAATGTAAAAATTTTTGATTGAAAATTGCATCAGGTGTTACAAATCGTTCTCGTGTCCGACGATTACGTACATGACCATATTTATAAACAAGATCACAACAATCAATTTTATACATGACACAAGAATAAACATTATCACGTGTAATAATACTACTAATTTCATCGAACTTTGGTTCTTCTAATCGATTATGACATACAAAACATGTCGTTGAAGCTGGAACCAATTGATGAATTAGGAAACGGTGAGGCTGAAGCTCGAATCTAAATTGTAATTTTTCGATTGCTAATAATAAACGTTCATGTTCATTGCTAGGTAATATTTGTTCGACTAAGTCTGGTATACGGCTAATTGACATAATTTTTGGCCAAATATTGACTTTATAATCACTACTAGTGGTTTCATTAATGATAGCCAAAATAGTTTGCTCTCGTTTCATTGAATCATCGGCAATATTCACTGGATAGAGTCGCATAAGACGTAAGAACAAAGCAACATGAGCAGGTGGAACATATTGAAAAAGATCCAATAAGAAATCTGTGTTGGACTTTGAGATATTCATTTAAATAAGCAGAATTAATACACAGTCTAGAATATAGATGCATCATATTTGACATTGAAACGAAATTAAATTATTAATATTTAGTTCATTTTATTATAATATCGCTTTTTTTTCTCCATTATTGTTTATGAAACGAAAAGAAAAATATGCAAAAAACGGCTTCAGGAAATAGTAACAATTAGTGTATTCAATAAATGATAAAAGGAATATTACAGTATCAATAGTCTAAATCAACTTTTACTAATAAGCGGAGAAAAAAGTGATTGAAGACCACTGAAGTAATATCCAGTGTTCTACTAACAAATCAAAATGATAATAATGTGCAATGAATATATACAATTAAAAATACACACATAGATAGAAAAAAAATAAACAGATATTATTAGCTTTGAACGACACCTACACACTAGGAATAAAAATTGACTATTTCAAAAAAAAAAGTGAAATATGAATTATAAATAAGTATACATATGCAAAGAGTAGTAATACGTTCAAGTATCATATTGATCAATAATCCTCATCGGCAAATCGTTTTGGTTTTCGTCTTCGTTTTGGTGGTGGATCATCATCGGATTCTTTTTGTCGTTTAGCACCAAGCCGTCTTAACTCTTTGCTTGTCCGTTGAGAAGCAGTCAGTTTGGATCGTGGTCGGTCAAATGAATCATGAACTAGATAATGGACGAAAAGATAATAAAGGAAGCTTGAAGAATACGGTAAAAGGTTGTCTTACCATTATCATTGGATACTGAAAATATAGTTACCATAGGCAGATTCATGTTTGTATCGGGACAAATAATTTTGTTTTGATAATATACACTAATATGTCCTTCTTTAAGTTTGTCATACCAATAAAGATTCAATAGCCAGTTATGATACGCTGTGTTAAACATATTATTTCTACTCGAAGTTGATAAGGATGAACCACCGTCATTGAAAACTTTGTTTGCATAATCATCGAATGTGATACCAACTTTTTCTCGAAGTTTTGTTTCAAATGTTGATGTATCTGACGCCGATTGTGAAACTGGAAACAGTTTCAAAAAACCTATTTCAGGTTTGAATGCTCTTTTGGTTGGACTACTTGACAAAAACAAGTCATCGATTTGCATGATAAGTCCACTTTCTTGTAAATATTTAATGACAATATTTTTTATTTCTGCACTATTATATAACCGAGTTGCATCTGTCTTGGTAAATGCAACAAAAGGTTTCAGCATGATCTTTTTTGATAATGCAATAATGTCTGATAAGAATAAAACGAATTAAATGGTATTATACGCAGGATTATTCAGACTTACTAAATGCTTTTTTATTATCAATATTAGTTGCATTTAAATTTTCTTGTAAATCTTCTGATTTGTTATTATACTCAATTGTCGTTGTGTCACAAGATGACGACGTTTGAATGTTTGAATCATTATCTAATAAAAAATGATAAGCACATACTCATAAAGTTCATCAGTTATCATACCATTTTCCATAGAATCAAAATGAAGATTTTTGTTTTCTTTTTCATAATCATATTCAATGATGATTGACGATGATAATACAGAAAATGATTCCTAGAAGATATAGTTATATAGCTTTATAAACTTTGTGAAAAAGAAACGAAAACCTTCTGTGGTTGTTGTTGAACAAATAAACTATGGTCGATATCGTTGATAATCATAGAATCTGTTGAACTATTATATTCAATTGAACTAGAAGCTGAAAAAAAAAATGAAACAATGAATTTTATACGATGTATACATATCTTATATACAATGAGTAGTTTCATTATTATTTTTTTCATTAGAGACAGATTTGATACTTGACAATGAGCCATTGGATAAAGTTTGTGCCAAGTTGTTAACAGTCGTAGATGACTTATCTAAAGTGAAAAAGAACGATAAACTACAAAATATATAAAGACGTACGATTTTCCTGATTATTGTCCAGCCATTGTCGAATAAACGTCCCATCATCCTGAATATCAGTACTACTGATGCTGCTTTTTTCTAAAACTGAATAAGGACTGTCGAATTTAATCCTTTTTATGATATTCAAATGTTTTACTAGTTTTAATTTTTTCCAAAACAAATATACAATCATTAATCATGTTTGTATCAATATTTTCTATTATATAAGCAGCATTAACTTTAATAAAAATATATCCAAAGTAGTTAATGAAAACATATTAACATTAGAATTAGGTTTACCTCCTTCATTTGATATAGTTTGTTCTTTGAATATATTTAGTTGATCACATTCATTCAAAGAAATATCTCGTTCTGTTTGTAATGGAACATAATTATCAGCAAGTGGCACGGATGTTTTGATCGCACCGGAGATCGTTGAGCTTGAAACATAATTGTCAATCATTGAAGATGTAGTATTATTTGATAAAGGAAGAGTTCGATTAGTTGCTCGAAAGCATAATTTATTTAATTGTTTCAAAATGTCATCGTTATTTTCGAAATGAATAATATGTTCAGGTTCTAATGAAAATATATTCGAATTGAAGTCGATACCGATTTGCCCACTACTCAAGCCAGGTTTCAAGATTTCTTGGGCGATAGGATCGTAGACATTACCTAAACGATGAATAATTGAAATATAATCCTTTAAATGTAAATTAATATGGTTAATTGCTGATTTTTCAATTTTTGCAGATAGTTCAGCTGTAGGCAATAGACATAGTTCCCATATTTTTTTATAATCATTAATACTCAAGTTTAATTCAGCCAATGCTTTAATTGATAAATCATTGCTTTCTATTTGGTTAGGTGGAAACAAAGCATAACTTCTGTGAGCTCCTTTGATAAATCTTAATTTATCGGAGGCCTGATCTATTAATTGATTTGTAACCAAATATTCAATAGCCATCAATAATCGTTCTTTTTTGTTATGGAATTGTCGATGATAACTAAATGTTGATGCTGAAAAAAAGATAAATTTCGATAAAATAATGGTTGATGCATCAGCATATACAGTATTGTAATTTTCAAAATTTCTATATGCACTAAAATAACCATTGAAAATTAAAAATCGTTTAAATATGAGTTCTATGTACTTTGTTAACAGATGAGACGGCATCGGTGCAGAATTGAATTTCTCTTGAATTGATGACAAATCGAAGAGCTTTCGAGATACTTGATCAACATGAGCAAAAAATAAATCACCCATGATTGCCGTATCCTTTTCAATAATCAAAATTTTTGTGCCATCATTTTTACACAAATTTGGCGGAAATAATTTGTCGATAACATTTTTGACAGCTTCGATAAAAGAATCAGATACACGATATGGTGCATTGGCTACCTCTGATATTTCAATAAATGGATATACAGTATCGTCCCATAAAATATTCATAATTGACCGAAATCGGGCAAAATTACATATGAAACTGAAGAGAAAAGAAGAATACGTTTCTCTTGTAAGAGTATAACAATAACTCACCGAGGAATCTTTGTTGAATTTTTGAAGTTAATAATGGCTTCATATTCTTGTTTTTCACTTTCTGTTGCTTCTTCCCACTGAGTATAAACTCGATTAAACATATAATAAAAAGCACTTTTGCTTTGTTCCCGTGTAGCATCAGCTTCTGGTTCTTCAAGTTCAATTTCAATTTGTGACCGTGAATAATAGTATTGACGATTGGACATAGGTCGCAATCTTTTCCATTTCTCTTCTATATCCGTATTGAATATATCTTAAACAAATAAGAATGACATGATCGAAAGCAAAAAAAAGGATATTTACTAATTTCTTTCGGTTCAGATTTATCATATACATTCTTTCGTGCTACATATTCAACTTTTCCAAGTAATACGGAAACTGTATAGACATGTTGAAGAGATGGAACCATATTAGAAATTACACCGGTTGAACCGGAATTAGTTTTGATAGCTTTTGTTATCGGACACGGATAATGAGTGAATCGATTATGAGCACCACTAATGCCATTACCTCTATATGTTAATCAAAATCAAGAAAAAATATTTCGATTTAAATCCTTCACTTACTCGTGATGCTGTTGAGACACACGTGCATAAGGATCACCTACACTTGCACCAATAATAGAAGCACGTCGTCCTTCAGGAATATTGTATGATGTAGAAAGAGTCGATCGATTTTGGTGTTTAGCACCATCAAACATTTGAATAAGCATGTTAACATTTTCGGCAAAACGTGGGTCGTTGTATTGGTTACCATATACACCCAAGTTACCCAATAATGTATCACATTCTGTAGAACATAATAAACGATTACCATATATCAAACTTCGATATACATGTAGTGCTGTTGCCTATTATAAACGACAAATCACATAGAATACATAAATTAGAGAGAAAGATAGATATCTATCTTACATTGGAAATAATGAATGGCTGCTCAAATGGTAAATCGTTGTTGTTGTTGTTGTTGTTGTTGTTGTTGTTGTTGTTGTTGTTGTTGTTTGGATATTGGATATATTCTTGATTAGTATCCATTTGTGCTAAAGTCCGACCCAAAGCATCCATATGAGGCGTTAAAGCCGAAGATTTGCCACTACCTAACGGTTATTGCTGTATGTTACGAAGAGATAAGAAAACGCTACGTTGACTCACCTGATGTTCCAACGATATGACCAAACATATTTGTACCATCTGGATTTCCATTATTAATATAGTGATAATAGTAAGAATTGTTATTGACAGCAGACAAAAAATGAAGTAATATAAACAAATTCAGACCACGATCAACATTCGAATCTCTTGACCACGACAAGAGGGTTGCTTCTTCAAATGATGTTAATTGTAATAATTGCTCACATGGATCGAAGATTTCCTTGTCTGAACACAAACATCTTCGTGTTTGTGCATGTTTCAATAAAAAATCACGTAATGTTGGCTTCTGTGAACGTAATAAACAATTCGGGAACATATATTTGAACTTCAAATACGCAATAATTTGTGAAAAGTAAATCAATAGCCAAAACAAAATAAATAAAATTCGACTGAATAATTTGACTATGCAGTTAGCTTCACATACGATGAAAGCCGAATCAAACCACAAATACTAAAAAAAAAATTTAATATTATTGTTTATATGAACAGAAAATCAAACTGAATTCATACCGCTTATGCAAACGTTTAACCAGGACTATTTATAGCAGTCGACAGAGAGAGAAAAATATAAAAAAAACAAAGAGATGACCAGTAAATAGACAGAAAACATAAAGAAAAGGCCTCGATCAATTCTTTGCTATACCAAGTCATAATAAACCATCGACTATAATCACTGAAGCACAAAGCACTATATAAGACGACCAAGTCGACAAAGGAAAAAGTACGACGCCGTCCAACTAACAACGTCAGAAATAGATATGCACTTGGATTGACCTCGAATATAAACAAAACAATAAAAAAAGACAAATAAGTAAAACGCATCGATGATAGAACAATTAAAAAGTCGATTCCACACCAATCAAACAAAATCATAAAAGAGAAAAGATACGCGCACCATCTCTCGTATCACATATTCATACACATATTAAATAAAAATACGAGATTGCAAGAAACACAAAATATCCATACATTGATTTGTACGAAAAACACGAATCTATGCTTGTAACAAACACACTACAGAGGCTTCTACAAGCAACTTGTCTATAAATTCCAATTCGAATAAAAAGTTATCTTTCTTTTTTTGTCGGAATTATATAGGTGTTTCGTTCGAACTATAAATTCGCATTTCAATAAATTTTTTTCTTTTTTTGTCGGAATT